CTTGCACCGTATTGTACAGAATATATTTCGTGCAGAAAAGAAAATGAGAGTATTACACCACCCCCCTCCCCCTCCTTTCTCAGTTTTAAGAATTTAAGTTTTGTAAAATAGTCAACAGCCTATTTCCCTTTATTGCTTGTAAACATTTTGCTTTTTTAACATTTGAAAAAAATCCTGAAATCCTGACCAATCCCGATCAAAATTACCACAAAATAAATAAGATGAAACTATTGCCTTCTTTAAGTATTTACCACTAAGAAATTTATTTATTTATCAAGTTCAATTACTTTTTGACACGTATTACACCTTAACAAACTTGTATTTCTTCTGAAAATATTATCTATTATCAATTATTATAAAATTCTGGTTGGGATCAGTTTAATTTCGATCGGGATCGGCTAAAATTTGTAAAAAATAATTTCTCTAAAATTTCGCAATTTCGTTTCAATTTCTTTTTCAAATATGATTGTCTAACATATCCTTTGTAGCTGTGACTTGTTTTTTGAATATATTATCCATATGTTTTGAAAATATTCACTAATAATAACTTTTTCGAAAAAAAAATTTTTAGTAAAAAAATTAAAATGTCTTTCTGGCTTTTCTTCACATATTTTATGAGATATTTATATTATGCATTCATTAACAACAGATTTTTAACAATAAAGCATCTTATTTGCAAATAAAACATTTTTTTTCCATTTTCTATGAAAAATTGGAGAAAATTCTTATAAAATAATTAAGAGCTAGTCCTTTCAATGCTGAAACCATGACTTAAGGAAGCTCTAAACACTGCACACTAAAGAGTTCTATTTGTAGGTAGTTTTATTGGGTGATTTGCCCTCAGAAGAAAAATAGTATAAATGGGAATCTACAGTTAATGACATAATTTCTTATGAATTAAAGTATTCTTAATGTTATGTTAGACCAAGATTGAGTAATTGAATACATTATTTCCATTAATTTTCCTGATGCAAGTAAAAAACAGTGATTTCTGTTCACAAATAGTTCATTGTCTTTGAACATTTTTTCTGCAGAAATAAGGCAGGTGCCCTATGTTGAAAATGAACTTGATACACTGAATATGTGCACCTTTATATGATATATTTTTCTCAAAGCCCAAAAAGCATTTTTCATTAGTGTTTAGAGCTTCCTTAACATGGATGTCTTAAGACCAATGGAATTAAATTTTGGTGTGGCATTCCTCCTTAAGGAAGTAATTATGGGTCCAGTTCCTAATGAATAGAAAGCCTCATTTGCGGTTTGTATAAACAAGAGCATAAATTATTGATATAAAATTTTATTCAGAAGAGAAATCACAAATAAATACCTCACCTTTAATATCATCAATGTTCATTTTTGCATACTTAAACATACATCAATAACAAGATGTGTTTGTGAAACACTGATGCCCCCGTATGGCAGCTTATGGCGAAGGTTAAAGTTTCTCAAATGCAAGTCAAAATCCAGGCCAAAAGATAAAAAATGTTAAAATTGAAAGCCCTAGCTGCAACTGTTCAAAAGTTATGGCGAAGGTTAAAGTTTTTTAAAAGTCAGTAAAACATTAAGGTCAAGGTCAAAGTTGTTGGTATCCAAAGGAAGGTCTTGTTACAAGGATTACATATGTGAAGTATGAAAGCCCTAGCTGCAACCATTTAAAAGTTATGGCCAAGGTTAAAGTTTTTCAAAAGTAGGTCAAACTCCTATGTCAAGGTCAAAGGGTCAAGGTCAAAGGGTCAAAGTGGTTGGTATTCAAAGGAAGGTGATGTCACAAGGATTACATATGTGAAGTATGAAAGCCCTAGCATTAACCATTCAAAAGTTATGGCCAAGGTTAAAGTTTTTCGAAAGTAGGTCAAACTCCTAGGTCAAGGTCAAAGTGGTTGGTATCCAAAGGAAGGTATTGTCACAAAGATTACATATGTAAAGTATGAAAGCCCTAGCTCTAACCGTTCAAAAGTTATGGCCAAGGTTAAAGTTTTTCAAAAGTAAGTCAAACTCCAAGGTCAAGGTCAATTGTTGGTATCCAAAGGAAGGCCTTGTCACAAAGAATACACATGTGAAGTTTGAAACCCCAAGCACCAACTGTTCAGAAGTTATGGCCAAGGTTAAAGTCTCATAAAATTTTGCAAAAGTGGGTCAAACTCTAAGGTCAAGGTCAAAAGGTCAAATATGATGGTACCCAAAGAAAGGTCTTGTCACAAGAAATACACATGTGAAATATGAAAGTAATAGCTCCAACCAATCAAAAGTTATGGGCAAAGTTAAAGTTGACAGACAGACAAACAGGACAAAAACAATATACCCCCGGGATCTTTCGATCCGGGGGCATAAAAAGAATTGTTATTACTTTTAAAATATGTAACTATATAAATCAATACTAAAAAAGTCTAACATTTCCAATGTTTTACTGAGCATTGATGTTTGACTGCAGAGTGAGATATTGGACATTGGACCGCTTATGTCACAATGTTGGCAGGATCAGCTTAATCTTATTTTCATCTGTTGGTGTTCGACAGTAACAGAATTGACCAAGTTTAACACAGTGCAGGTAAAGGAAATTAACATCATAGAAGCCAGCACGAGTACAGTCATAACTGAGGTACAATGTGTAGTAGGCCTCTTGGAGTAAATAGAGAACAAGTATCAGCTGTCAACATGCAGTAGACCTGAAACAAAGTGAGAAAAATTATTACATCACTTATGTCAGCTAAAGGTGCTGTGAGTGAGCTAACAAAATAATAAGGTTAAAACCCTGCTGCAATTCTTTTATTTAGAATGTGTAAATGTGACCTTGAACTTACCAAAATGACTTTGGTAAAAAAAGGACAGATCTTTGGACATGATTAATCTAAGTTACAAAGTTATTGACTGGACAAGTATGTTATCTCTTATCTGCCAGTGACCTTGAACTTGCCAGAATGACCTTGGTCAAGGTCAAGACAAACTTCCAGGTCATAAACAATCTTTGTAGCAAGTAAGAGCTTCCAATGATTCTCCATTACAAAGTTACAGCCTACACAAGTGTTTTATACCTTTTAAGCCAGTGACCTTGAACTTGCCAGAATTGCCATGGGCCAAGGTCATGACACACTCTCAGGTCTTCAATTATCTTTGTACCAAGAATGAGCTTCAATGATTCTCCATTGCAAACTGATATCCTGGACAAGAAGTTTATATCATTTCTGTCAGTGACCTTGAATTTTGACAGACTGTTTGATGGGATCCCGCCAATCAAGTCGGGTTCATCAGGACATTTGAGCAATATAAGCCTTAAAGATTCAACAAACTTTCATAAAATAATTATCGTTAATATTAATAAATTAGTTTAAAACTATACTAAACATAACTATTTACATCATATTGAAATATTGTACTGAACAAAAGTAGTTTTGCCCTCGACTTGTTAATAACAGCTGTGGCTAAAAATAGTGATTGGGTCATGTGGGGATTTTTTCTTTACAGAGCAATGACTGTTTACAATCTAACATATAAGAAAGGATAAGATAGGCTAAGATCCCTTTTTGGCCCCTGGTTTGGGGTGTCTTTTAGAATGTTGCAACAGTTTTTCAGTTAAAAACCTGTTGTCACCCCTGCCATAAATTGAGTATTGTTTCTAAGTTATGGGATACACAGAGGCCACAGGAAGTTCAGGAAATATGTCAGTTTCCGAATTTTCTCATTTTATGCAAATTTTCATTGGTTTTACAGCACATTTTGGTTCAGAAAACATAGAGCACAAGCTTGCCTATCTACCAAATTTATATATTTCATACAATAGTATCAGATGCATCTTATGTATAAAAATCTCAGATAGGCAGCCTTGTGCTCTATATTTCCCAAAGTGAAAAGTATCTCAAATCAGGGGTTTAAATTTTCCTGGAAAACCCACTAGCCCAGGGGCTATTGACCAGTAAAAATTACTAGCCCAAACCTCAAATTAACTAGCCCAACAACTTTTTCATGCGAAATGAAAACATAACAAGTAAAAGTTTTAAAGGCTGTGGTGACAGAAACAAATTAAACTACAATGTAGTTCTCAGTCTAATGAAACCACTCGACATAGAAAAGTGAAAGTAAACTGTTGAGATTTTTTCCCCATTCTGCTAGTCCAATGGACTATCATTACATCTGAATTAGCTAGCCCGAGTCTTAAATTGACTAGCCCCGGGCATCGGGCTACCATATATTTCAACCCCTGCAAATTTGACAAAATGCAACCAGAATTGAGGAAATTCTGGAAAATAACCTACTTCTACACCCTCTTGTGGCCTCCGTGTAAGCTTTGAATCAAAATTAGTGCTGGTTTTAAAACAAGCGTTATTTTTAATTCTTACCTGCAAACTATCACAATTTTAACTGTGTTCTGTTTTTTACATCAAACAAGGGGCCAGATTCGGCCGTTACCATACCTTGTCCTTTTTTTAAAAGTTTTTAGATTATTTATTTGAAGGACTGAAATGGGGGTTCAACAGTTATTTTATCAATACGTCCACTTGGTCTTTTACACGACTGGACCACTCATTTACTAGACTGGGTCAAACATGCCTTAGTGTCAAACCCTGTTGAACTAGCCTGAATGACCTTGGGTCAAGATCTTGACACACCAACAGGTCATAAACATTCTTTGTACCAAGTTTGAGCTTCCAATGACCAACAAGTTGGCACCGATAGACTGACAAGGTGATTCTTATATATTCCCCCAACCTTTATTGTGGGGGTAGAAGACCAGCATGATGAATATAAGACAGAACATTCAGGATCTAAATGAAAAATGGGGACTCCTGATACACGTATCAGAGTGGAAAGAGATGCTCAATACAAAATTGCCACCTTCAGTGCCATTGGGAAAACCCAATTCTAAGCTGCTACCCAAGTGACATATACTGTGTTCTTAGAGGAAGAAAATTGTAGCAGTGTTCTATGGAAATAAATTTTGTAAGAAAGGTGAAAGCTGAGAAATAAAGGAAAGGAAGTTACCTGCCCAGCCATGAGCACTGCACTGTCACCATTCCTCCAAAGACAATGATTGTGGATGAGAAGAGATGGGCTGCAGAAAGTGAAAGTGAGCTGCAAAGTGATGACCATCCACTAGTCATCTATTTCACCAGTGGTGGTTAAGGTGCCACTCTATACAGATTATCTGAAAAACAAGGAAATTTCATTGAAAACCTAAAAGATCTCCTGCAATTCTTTGATTCTCAAAGAAAACAGACAGCTATGGCTCAATTAGCAGCCACACATTTCTGAGAAGAATAAAAGAATCCACACAAAGAAAATTTGCCTTTGACCTAAAGCTTCAATGCAAAACAGAGTAAAAAAAATATCAGTACTATTAGCACTATTCCATAAGATTTACCTTTGATTAAGTGGGCCACGTCTTCTACCATCAATTCAATCATAAGCTGCTACCAGAAACAGTGTGGAAAGTCCTGTCAACTTACCGGTAATTCCTTTTCCTGTTGATGACTGAAAAGCAATGAGTGGAAATTTCAGTGTTGCCTAGTGACTATGAATTAAACATGACAGAAGAAAATGTTTGTTAGAAGATTATTAACTTGACTTTTAAGTCCAAATAATCTTGCTAGCTAAAATTAAAAGAGTGTTCCAAGGAACACATGTGTCGCCTGATGAACAGCATCATTATTTAAGATTAAAAGAAAATCTAAGGGTGGTCAAATATTATTTGATACAAACATTATGAGGGCTGTTAAGAGATTATTAGTACATAGTGTTTATTCTTCTTTCCAAGTAATGCCTTTTGGTGAAAAATGGCATATATGTTTGACAAACACTAAGAATTAATAAAAGCAACAAATATTTTACAAATATTGTATTTCTTCTTTTCAATGGTATATTAATGGGTAAATAGAAATTAGTAAATTTCATTTCAATTCATTTTGTGCAAGCTTCTTAGAATTTCAATCAGAAATACGGAGATCATAAAAAAATCTAAGCTAGGTATAGATATCTGATTACATCAATAAAATAGATTTTGACGTCAACGCGACACAGCAAGCATACCTATAGAATTTTACGTAGCTCTTTGGAGAACTCTTTTCCAGACTAAAAGATCTGCTAAAACAATAACAACTAGTGCTAACTGTAACGAGAACTGTTTCAGATGTTCCCCAAACACTTCCCCATTCTCTTATGGGCCCCATTCATTACAGGCTTCATTTAATTATGCAATTCTTTTGTTTAATAAATCTATACTTTATTTTCAGTAGTATTTATTCGAAAAACAACACTGGTAGAGTTCTTTGAGTATTACATTAGCCAATTGGATTTCAGCGCATGCTAGGCCTGAGTATATCGCAAACTACCTAACAATGATACGGTCATGTGATATACAACATGTACCATGATACAGCTGTCACCAATTGAATTAAGCTTTATCTTAACATATAATTCTTTGCTAACTCCACAGTTATAGAAATATACAAAGAATATCTTGATAACCCTTATCAAAGTTAATAAAAGGTGGATTTATAGTCTTGATGTTGTATTTTTTCTTTGCTACCTTTTTTCAGCCATTTTAAAACATTAAAATTTGTTAGGTTGAATGCAGAAGTTACAAACAAAACAATGAAAATTATCTTCTACTGTATCACAATACATACATGGCGATACGTGTATCGTCAGCCCTTGCGATCAATACGATCGATGTATTGCTGTATCGTTACACCTCTAGCGCATGCACATGCCCATATTTTCTAAATATTTCATATTCCTTCCTCGTGAAGAGACTCACAATAAATAGCTATGTAAGAAATGTAAAGATTTTCATTGAAAACTATGAGAGATACAGCCATATAAGTATTAGCAAATCAGAATCCACGTTCTTGCATTCAATTTTCATAGTAGCACAATGTAGGAACCCATTACACCTATCTATATTGCAAATTCCATCCAGTTTTGTTAAAAACTAAGAAAGTTACTACTGTAACAGCCATTTAAAGTTTAAGCCAATCAAATTGCAGCACACTTGCATGAGCGTGTTTTCACAATATCTCATATATTATATCAAAATGGAGAGCCTTTTTGTGTATGACTATGTTTTAAATTTCAAAGCATTTCATCAAAAAAAAAAAGGTTATTGAGATTTTTTGTGTCAGTCAAACAGAGCAAAGCACACATGCATGCACATGCTTTCTTGCTAATTCAACCACCTCTTCTTGTCTACACTACTAATATAAGTTTATACAATGCAGTTCAAAGCATATCATAAAAAAACAGGAAGGTTAATGGTGTTTCAATTGCTTCAGTCATTTCACTCCTTGCACGCGCATGCATGTGCATGTAAGTGTGGGTAAAATGACCTTCCTTCTGCACATCTACACAACATGCCTGTTAACCCTAAAAAGGTTTCAACTCAATCAGTTGAGTAGTTTCTGTGATGACAGAGAAAGAAGCATTAAAGCTTCCAGACTGTCTCAACATGGTAAAGACCTATGGCTGGCATGAGATGAAAATGAAGAAGCAATGATGCTTTAGGTCAATAGACATATCCAAGTTTATAATTCCAATGGGGCATGTCTAATTATCCTATCAATTAGAAATTTTGCATAGCTGTTTTATTTGTTCTTGTTAAAATGTTGACAAATTTTCATGAATTAATGTCTTTCTTTTATGGAGTAAAAGTAAATGTTTAATTTCAAAATAGCCCTTATATAGCAAAGAAAAAAAATCCACAAATAGTAAGACCCATACAGAATAGCATTTATCATATAAAATCTGACAATAGATATATGATTCTCCACCCTTCAAAGCTAAAGTGAATTATAAAATTGAAATTAACAAGAAGTCTGTGAGCCAATGTTCACTAGTAATACCCCCGCTTTGATGTGAATATACATTCTGATGTGAATATACACAAGTTCAGTTATGGACAGACTCAAGGATGAACAAAAAGTTGACATCGGATTTGTACAAAAATGAATCCCAAAATATGACATGCCTAAACAAAGAATGTGCTAAAATTTCAAGCATCTGCAATCAGTAGTTGCTGAGAAAATTGCGACCAAAATTTGTTATGTATGGTACGGACAGACACACGGATAAACAGGAAGTTGACATCGGATTCGTACAAAAATGAATCCCAACATATGACATGCCTAAACAAAGAGTGTGCTAAAATTTCAAGCATCTGCAATCCGTAGTTGCTGAGAAAACTGCGACCAAAATTTGTTATGTATGGTACGGACAGATGCACGGATAAACAGGAAGTTGACATTGGATTCGTACAAATATAAATCCCACTATATGGCATGCCTAAACAAAGAATGTGCTAAAATTTCAAGCATCTGCAATCAGTAGTTGCTGAGAAAACTGCAACCAAAATTTGTTATGTATGGTACGGACAGATGCACGGATAAACAGGAAGTTGAAATCAGATTCGTATGAAAATGAATCCCACCATATGGCATATCTCAATAAAGTGTGTACTAAAATTTCAAGCATCTGCGATGAGTAGTTGCTGAGAAAACTGTGACGAAATATTTGTTACAGACAGACAGACAGACACACAGACAGACACACAAGGGTAAAACAGTATACCCCCCTCTCCTTCGGAATGGGGGTATAATAATTAAAATAATTATTTTTAATAAATATATCTTTATCCCAGATATCTTCCAAAAGAGATTTCAGTCTCTATTCACTCTACAACGATACTTTTGGTATACCCATCCTGATGTCTTTTCATTGTATTTAAATTTCAGTTTGTGTGGTTATATTGCATACAGTTTCAAAGTACAGTGTCATGAGCTCATATACAGTAACATGTGATATAAATGCTAATTATCAAAATCCTGCCTCTCAAAATCAAAAAACAAAGAAAAAAATAATAATAATTCAATCAACTGCCAGAGTGATTTTATACAATCAAAGGTCAAGGTCAACTGAATTGTAATGTAACGAACTCGCTTGCATTGAACTCTCTTTGTTTGAAAAATCGGTTTGTTTGAAATGAACTGGGTTTCTCCTAAAATGCTGGTACAGTTTCTTTGCAATAAATACTCGTTTAGATTGAAATCGGTTAACTTGAAAAACTCTGTTAATTTGAAGTGATTTTGGGGTCCGCTGAACACAAAGCTTATAGCAGTTTTGATAACGGGTACATTGAAGTTGCCGATTGCGACGCGTGGACTCAGGTGACTGACTATATATAAAGTCTAGCACGTGTTAATTTTTCACTGGTGATTTGATGTTGGTGGACCTGTACAAATTTAATTATGTGTTGTATAGATAAAACAATAATCATTGAGCATTTCTCACCGTAACATATTAGTCGCCATTTTTATTTTCTAACTATGGCATTAAGACCGACATGGATAAAATACGCAGGGGTGTCATGTGTACATTGGTGTGTGGAGAATAGGGCTGTGTATTGACCAAAATATTTCGATAAGATATTTTATAAAGCAATATGCAATATATTGGATTCTAAAATAAGTCTAGCAAAAAGGTCTTGTAAATCATTTAATGCATAAATTTGATAAAAACTGGGTGTTTTAATACCAAATTGGAAGTTCATATGTCTCACTGTCTTTACAAAGAACACTTCAAATTCAAACTTTTAATGACTGAAAAACTAATATGTTAAAATATAGTTGTATATGAATTTTGCAATAGTTAATTAAGATGTGCTATCTCCTTAATGTTTATTTTATTATTGACCAGTTTTAATTAAAAACAGTTAAAAATTATCTTTGGTGACTGAAATTCCCAACTTTTTCACAGAATTATAAGAAAAACAGTCTGCCCAATACGTATTGGAAGTTAGTTTGTCGATACGATAAATTCCTGAATATCGATATGTATTGATTAATCAATATATTGACACAGCCCTAGTGGAGAAAGTGCCGGAGTAAATAAATCCACTGTAATTAAGTAAATGGAAAATAAACTTCTTGAATTGAAGTATATGAAGCATATGTTTTCAATGCTGATGAGACAGGGCTGTTCTATAGATTCGAACCTGACAAATCATTGCATCTATGCGGCAATGTTCAGGATGAACTTTTTTCATGTATAAATAGTCTTGATAGTTTTCTAACACAGATCCAAAAAAAAAAAAAAAAATAAAACAGTAAAAAAAATTTAGGACTTTTTTGAAAAATAGAAATAAGTACATTTCTGAAACACTGCATGTAATGTTATGTAAAAAATATGAATTCGCAATTGTATATTTTTTTTACTGTACAGTCAAGCCTCGGTACCTCTAACTTGAAGGGACCAAGAAAAAACTTCGAGATATCTGAGGATTCGAGATATCGAGGGTAAAATACTTAAAGAATAAGTGGTTGGTACAGCAAATCACTTTGACATATCCATGGTATTCAAGATATCAGAGTTCCAGATAATGAAGTTCAACTGTATCTACATTTTTTATGTAATTCATAGCACACAGATATAATGAAATTCGTTTACTTTGAAATAAATCTCAAGGTCCCTTAAATTTCAATGTAAACGAGTTTGACTGTATATGGTATTTTACAAAAGCCAAAGTGCCAAGCAATGCAAGTGCAAAGTATCAAATCCATTCCTCTTACAGTTCTCAGGATCTAGGGTATGACAGACAGACAGACACCATGTAAAGTGATCTCTAAGTGTCACTTTTACCAAAATTTTTTTTCATAATTATTTTGTTTTCTTACCTCTCTGAAGAGCATGACAAAGGTTACATAGGTGACAGGTAGAAATACATGTCATGGGATGTATTGGTGTAATCTTTTTAGTGAGCAGATTGCATCATGAATTGTTTATCTGCCGTTGCTGATCTTTAACAAGGAAGACTTCTCCTGAAATAAGAAAAATTATTTTCAAAAGTGAAGTTACCTGTTACTCTTAAAGGGACATAGACACTGATTCGACATTTTGAAATATTTTCTCAAATTGTCTGTATTATATCATGACATATATGTGGCTATAGCATTTCACACGGAAATATAATAAAAAACTTATTTTATCTGTAAATTATTGAAACTATTAAATTCGGGATGCGTTTGATTGACACATCCTTGCACTTTCACAAGTAAACTTCATCCTTAATACTTAAGAAAAATAGTTTTTTTGATACATATTAATGAAAAAAATATAAAAAAATATAATCCAGAAAATTAAGAGTAGAAATCAGAGAAAGCAAAACCAACTAACCAGAATTGTCAGTCCGTGCTCAGTGATGTGTGAAGAGTTTAACAAATTGAACACAAAACAGTTTACGTTCCATTGGGTGTGTTCAATTTGTTAAACTCTGCACACATCACTGAGCACGGACTGACAATACTGATGAGTTGGTTTTGCTTTCTCACATTTCAACTGTGAATTTTCTGGATTTTATCTTTAATTTTTTTTACTGAAACACAACAAAATTTCTACTTTTTTTAAGTATCAAGGATGAAGTTTTACTTTGTGAAAGTGCAAGGATGTGTCAATCAAATGCGTCCCTAAATTCGTAGTTTCAATAATTTCCAGGTAAAATAAGTTTTTTTTAATGATATTTCCCTGTGAAATACTATAGCCACACATGTCATGATCTAGTCGAAAATTTTAGAAAATATTAACTTCAAATCTGAGTCTATGCCCCTTTAAAGGTCATACACAAGAAAATAATTCACTATATTTTACTATAAAGCCTTGATTAAATTATTAATCAATTAATATGACCCTCACTAGATAAAAGATGAAGAAAAAATGAATGATGCTTGGACAAAAATTTGAGACCAGAAATAAAATAATTCCCTATGCAGTTTTTAATAGAGAAAATTGATATTATTGATAGGTAAGATACCTTCAATCATGTGGATTTCACATGCTGATAAACAATTTACACACCATCCAGGAAGTTGCATCATGAGCACCTAAAAAAGGAGTATTCCTTAAATTCATTGATTGCCCACAAGTATAATATTCCTAATATTTGAGTAAAAAATAAATACTGTAGGCCTAAAATGAGAAACCGAAAAAGAAAACCTGAAAAGAAATTGTCTCTTTCTACAAAGAACAATAACTGACTAAGTTCATTTTGATTTGCTATTCCTGGCTCTAAGCTAAGCATGGCATAACAAGAGTCTACTGGAAAGAAAGGGTAAATTATTCATATGGTAAAAAATTAACAAATCAAACTTTGTAAATAAATACCCAAGCATTTGGTTTTGTCTTTGATTTCAACAAAATGTTATTGATCTCCAAAAATTTTTGTTTATGTGTGCTGAGCCACAGTAAAATTTTAAATGTTGTAGAACTGTATATCCATATCTAGATTCAGTAAGAAATTTCTAGTCATTTGACAAGTTAATTTCACAGTTTCACCAAAGTTTGATTAACAATGTTATGGTTAATAAAATATTATCCAATTTAAGCTTATAGTTATATTATTAAAGTGCAATTTGTCAAAGTAAAAAATGCCTGTAAAAGAACAAGTGGCCATGGGCAACAATGCTCACCCAAGTCACTATGGCCTTGCTGTTCTACTTTTTTTTTACTACACATGATGATGTATATTTATTCATATGTAAAAATTTGATTGTCCATTGTGGCCCCACCCTACCCTGGGGGGGGGGGGGGGGGGAGGGGGGGTCATGATTTAAACAAACCTGAATGTACACTAAGTAATGAAGCTTTCAGAGAATTTTCATTTTCTGGTCCACTGATTCTTGAGAAGAAATGTTTTTAAAGATGCCATTAAATTTACAACAATTCTTAATTATTTCCCCTTGAAAGAGGGTGTAGCCGTTCATATGAACAAACTTGAATTTCCTTTACCCAAGGATGCTCTGTGGCAAGTTTGGTTAATATTGGCAAAGTGGTTCTGGAGAAAAAGATGAAAATGTGAAAAGTTTATGTCGCCGCCTCCAACAACAACAGTGACAGACAACAGACAAATTTTGATCAGAAAACCTCTCTTAAGCCTTTGGCTCAGGTGCTAAAATAAAAAATGGAGAAATAAAATTTATAGTTAATGACAGTTTTACTTATGTATTTTAAAACTCTTTCTCAAATACCATGGATATGTCTAAGTGCTCAAGTTCAGTGAGTTTATGAACTTTACCCTCTATTCTTGAAACCTCAATTATCTGTTTCTCAAAGGTTTTTTTTTTCAGTCCCATCTATTGCCATAATAGGCTTATCTCCAGGGGGTCCTCATGACTAGCAATTACATAAGCAATAATGTTTTTGGATATTAATATATTGAAATAAATAAAACTGAATAATTAAATGACAAGATATGCATTCGACATTGGGTGACACAATTGGGGAAAATATTCTGGTATGTTACCCTCGAAGTAAGTGATTGTGAAATTTACTTGTCTGAACATAACTTTTACTTGTATAAAAATATTTCATAAAAGACCTATTTAACAATTTGAAAAAATATTGTACATTACAATAGTCTATAATACATTCATTGAGTCTGTTTTTGAGATTTTGAGTGGACACATCTATTGCAAATTACTAAACTGTATCATCCTATCCTAAAGTAGATGTAAATCATGTTATATAATTACATGTATGAAAGAAAAATAGTAACAAGAAATAGCTGACTATATGACTTCAAATTTTTCTTTGCCTTCTTTTGCTTATCCTTTGTAGCCTAAATTGTCTTTTGCTAAAGCTCTCCTGCCAGATAATAAAAACCCAAATTTCCTTCAGTAAAAGTACACGTTTCAAAGTTACTGTAGTTCTAAGTAGTCAACTTCCTGGTACTTTAAATATTAAAATTAAAATTGTGACAAATGCCTGAAAAACATCAGATATTTCAGACAAGTTTCATAGTAACATTGTTCCTGATCAAGTTTGACAACCAGGGCCATCATTATTACGAGCAGGATCATTCAACATTTAACTATTTACAAACCGCATGCATTGCATGTTTTCATTTTGAACCTCCGATAAAAAGTTGATAACAAATTTTAATTCTTTAAGTTTTCATGCTCAGCTAAAAAAAAAATTCTTCCTAGAAAAATATCCCTTGTCAAATCGGACAAGTGGTCAGTAATTATCACTTGTTCATGAAAAATTTTACTGGTACATGTACTGGACAAGTGGATGAGCATACAATGTCGAGCCCAGGAACTCTGCCCCATTTTTTGTTTTTATTTGCCTTAGCAACCAACAGCATTAAATCTCGAACCCGAGCTATTATAATATGTAGCATAAAAGCACACGAGGATGATCAAGAGGGTGTTACAACTGTTTCTGTTTTGTTGTATTTGTTTCTAGCATTTGTTATTAACTGTTTCTGATGTGATGTGAATTCTTCATGGTATATATAGTGAAACTATATTTGTGATAAAAACATGATAAAAAAAATTAATAAAAAATGTTTTTCAAAAATGTAAATGATACCAGTAGTATAAAAACTCATTTTTAAGCATTTTAGAGTAGAATATAAACATCGAACCTAATGGGTCCTAGAAAAAACTTTGTGATATCCTACGATTCAAGATACTGAAGTTAAAATATGTACTTATAGCATAGCATAAATTTTCCATCTTTAACACTCAGTTATACCTCGATAAATATTGCTAATGAGAGGAGGAGCGCAATTAATATTTCTATCTTCATGATAACACAAATCTAAATAAGTCAGTTATTTTCATAGCTAATTCAGCCTTCATTAAGTTCAAAAAATTTCTTTAAATCTGTTCAGAATCAGACAAGTAAAAAATATTTATGCATTCGGACACAGGGTTTAACATTTATAAGGCATGTCTGATCGACACTGACTAGTAAAAGTTTGGTCCTGTCTAAAAATTGAGTGTACATCTGACATGTAAAATTAATATAACAAGTGTGCAGCATGTGTATTTTATTCATCTGCTCTCATGTACACACAGGATTCGAAATACCCAAAACTGTAGGGGTCTACAAATACAGTCATGACTTTAATGATTTTAGGTTAAAATTAAAAACAAGTAATTGTAATTGGAAGTATTCTATCAATACTATTATGTCAAGTTTCATCCACCAGTATAATGCTACGACATTGACGAGAAAAAACCATGCGTTTTCTACATGGGCATTTCTTCAATCAATTTGTTTATGTACCAGTATAAATTTATAAGAATCCTCTTGGGTTTTAATGTGATGGAGGAGGGTGCATTTAGTCATCAGGATGTTGTAACGCGGTCTTAAAACTCTTTAATAGCTTTGGGGCACGAACTACTTTTAAATTAGTTAAATAATCTAACTGCGTCTCCAGACGAGCCCTCACCACACCTCTCTGAAACCGGGTCTGAAGCTCATTAATCATTTTAATGATTAGAAAATTCTATCTACAACTACTTCCTCTTCCTGATGACATCAGTCTATTGCAGTGCAAACAAAAAATTAGTTTTATATTTTTTGGTTTTGGTGTTTGGTATCTACACTGCTTTACTGTTGTTACAAGGACTACAGCAAGTTAAACTATGAATTAAATTATTTTTTAACCCCACTAGTGATTGTACCAGCTAAATGACTGTGTATCAGTGTATCGTCCAAGTGTAGAATTGTAGATATCTTTTTATTAAAACTTTGAATTTTTTCTTACACATTCTTCTAATACTTCCACAACAAAACACTCGCCGCAACCATTCTTATTAGTCATCCTAAGCTTCCTCAGTCCTCGGTCGGAGCCTGCACTGCCATTTTGGTTGGCTAAATAACCCGACCCACTATTGTTTCGTAAATTGCCAACCCGTTTTTTTTAAATACAGAACATTTAATTCTAATAAATCAGATCTTATTTCCTCTGGTAATCCATCACATTTTTTCAGACCAGCTGTACAGCATTTCAAGACAGAATAAAAAGATAAATATTTATTTATAATTGCCATGTCGAACCTCGTATCAGTCGATGCTGAAGAAAGATGGTGATGAGGACGGAAATGCACAATTCATTTATTTTATTGATTAATCCTATTGCAAGTAATTGATGATAGTATCGTCATGATTTTTTCATAAATATGCAATACAGAATTAAAAAGTTTTGAAATTATTGGTAAATAAACATGATAAATGGCAATATTGATAATGTATTTTTTATCACCCTGTACACATACTGAGTGTAGGGCACTGTATTACAGTATATCTGGTAGAGTTTGAAATGGCATTTGTTTAATCATAAAATATGCTCTTAAAGTGAAGAAATTGCATGCGTCTAATTAAATAAACGAGAAAACTACATGCATGGGTCCCAACTTGCATTTCATTCTATGTTAGGGGTCTCTTAGCAATACCCAGAGACCTATATAGTAATATACTAAACAAAATATCACATAATTTATTCGATATATACACACCATCTTGTAAAATATTGTATCGTGTCATAGGAGATGTTCTATTGCACACCTTAAACATACACATAGCCCAATCACCCCTGAAATTCCAGAGGTGGGATCACGTGCCAAGGAGGATTAAGCATCCCCTGTTGACCGGCCACACCCACTGTGAGCCCTATATATTGATCAAGTAGATGGAATATTCAATAGTCAAATTTAGCATATAAACAAAGGCTTAACAATTGGTATGAAGCAAGTCAGCCAAAATACGACCCAGTGTTAGGCTATATTTGCTAACAGGTAAATCTTTGTACACCCTTGATTACACCTGGATAACAAATCTTTATTTCCTATATAACCTAATAATTTCTCTGTAAACCCAATTCCACTAATATTTTAAACTATTGATTTACTACATGCTTCAATACATTGTGACATCATGTTGTATGGTGTTTATTTGATATAGAAACTATTCATTGTGATGTCACATTATTTAACCCCACCCACCCCACCCCAGCTTTAGCTGGGTGTAAGGAAATTTACACCCTGGTTGCTAACCAATCAGATCTCGTGTTTTAAGATACATAGGAAATAATTAAGGACTTTTATTGAAGGTTATATAAAGATTTTTCAATCCAAAGAAACATGAATTATATCAATTGAGGCAATGAAATTATAATTATTTTACCAAACTTTTTCATTATTTCATAAATATCTCTAAAGCTTTTGAATATGTTCCATGTATACTGCCCTACTCATCTGCAAAAATGGGTA